CCCCCCAACAGCTAGCAGTCTACAACAGAAAAGTATGACTTTGACAATGTGTACAGTAAACTTTGATAACATGAACTTCACCGGACTAGAGGTTTTCCTTGTGTTGTTAAGTAGATTTCGTATATATAAAGGAGGGAAGTACAATGCATAGAAAAAAGATGCAATAAACCGGGCATTTGAAATCCTTTAAAGGCGGTAACAGGAATTTCATGTTAAACAACTACATGTTAATTAAAACGTTCTGTATTTGTGTCATGACGCGGAGGAATCAGGCATTTTTTGTGCATATCGAGTTATTGGTATGATCATAAGGCCTGTTCATTTTCCTTGCTTTAGGTGAAAATAATATCCATCTCTGTTGAATAGAAGTCGAGAAATTAGTGATTGAAGAGGGTGAGGGTCACCGGTTTCAGGGGTAAAATTAGCAAGAAAATGGCCGTCAAAGTTTGGTGACTTCCATAGTTTGAGAGTCCTTGGAAGCTGAAATGTTACATTTTTATGCCTTTAATCAACGTTTAAAGAAAAATTTAGTGTGTTTGTGTGTGTGTTTGTGTTTGTGTGTGAAGTGATTTGCAGGGTACACAACCTTATTGTAAGGCAGTTAGACATGCCTTATACTGTCCTGCTTTCTTCAATTTTCATCAGTACAAAAATGAATCAACAGCCACCCCCCCTCCAAAAATCCCAATAAAGCCATACTGTTGGCATCATTCCAAAATCACCTAAGTCTATTTCTGTAGGTTTCCACATACAGCTGTTATTCATTCGAAAATAGACATCAAGTGGCACCTAACAAAACAGTTTCGTAATATCGTCTTCAATTTTTAACTGATACTGAGACAAAGAATAAATCAAGTGCCCAAGTCATGATTCCGATTGGGTGCCCTCTTTTTCTTTAATTTTCTCATCTATAAAAAATGGCGTAGCTGCTTGTGGAATGACACCGAAAATATGAAACCATGACTAAAATTATACAAAATAACTTAGTAAGGAAATGAGTCTACATGTCATACTAAAACTGTTCTGTCTTCTGTCATGTTTAACAGTTTTATTAACAAAGCTATGCTCCCACCTCACTTTCCTCCCCTCCCCCTTTTCTACCCGTATTATGCCATATAAATATATCTATACAATCAATACAAAACACAAAATAAGTCTGCAAAGCAGAAAGACTATACTTAGACTGACCCTTAAGCTTCCATGTTTAACAGTTCAAGAAATAATTTATCACACTTCCTTCCCTCCCCCTTTCCAAGCACGTACTCCCCCCCCCTCTCTCTCTCTCCCTCGCTCTCTCTCTCTCCTCCCCCCCCCCCCCCTTGCCTCTTTTTCTCATCGCCATATTCCCCTTCCCTAAATCCCCCTTTACCATCTCGATACTCTCATCCTCTCCTCTTCCCCTATTCCATTATATCCATACTCAGAAACCTCTGTTACCCCACTCCCACCGCCTTGTCCCTTTCTCATCCCCTCATCCCATCCACCCCCCTTTCCCATCACCATACTCCAGCCAAGCTCCCATCCCCACCCACCCAGCTCTGCAGGATATTTTATTCCTCACCTAAGCCCAGGTCGCCCTTGAAAGGCAGGGTGAAAGTCCGCATCTTAAATTACGTCAACAGGGGCGTATAAAACACCTACATCAGAGTGAAATACGTCATTCACAATTCGTTTCTTTCATCAAAGACAATATGAAATGGAGCAACCTACACTCACAAATCTATACATTATTCACAATTCATTTCTTTTACAAACATCAAGCATAACAACAACTGAAGAAAACTGCACTCAAAGAACAAACATTTATGCCCAATGTCTTTCCCTCCAGGATGACAAGGATATTCATCAATGTAAGTAGACATTCCAGCATATACTTTACTTTTTTAAAATGAAGGCAGTATAGGTGTCTTTCAAATGGAAGTGTAAAGAAATTGTTTAGATTCACGAAGGAAACACTTTGCTCTCTGCTGTGACTGCAGCGACACAATTTCCCCCATCGACACAATGTAGATCATAGAAAAGGCAAGCTGATTAGACTAGGACCCTGTTTTTCAGTGGGAACCAAAGCTGAATGCAATAATATAGCATCCCAGTACACAGATAAGATATTGTAGGCCAAGGATTGGCCTTCTAAAATCCAATGTGGCAAACATTACATTCAGCCCGTGACTACTCATGGGGGACTTCCTGTGGCAGACAGGCTGGAGAGAAGAACAGAGGACAGATGAGCTGGGCCCAGCGAGGAGTACCAGAGGTCAGGTTCGCTTGTGTCGAAGCACAGTTCGGTACTAAAAAAGACCAGACAAGATATGATTACGTGGCTAGCACCCTGGACATGGACACCGCAGAAGAGATACAAGCTGAGTTGTTGAATCCTCCTGAAAACGGGAAATACGAGCACTTAAAAAAGGTCCCATTAGGCAAATCTCAAGCTCAAAAAGACCTAGAACTGCTGAACCTCAATGGTTTGGGGGATAGGAAGCCCACGGCCCTCTTAAGACGCATCAACGCGCTAAACGATGAGGTCTCAGTTAACCCAGTCTCTCTCACAGACAGACAAGGGTGCGCTACAGAACCTTTGTCAGCAGCAAATGGCACCAAAATAGCCACAAGGGGTAAGAAAGAAATGTTTCTAGAAATCAGTCTTAAAACAAAGTTTTCTCACATTTTTTTTTCTGGTGGATGTAACTAGACCTATCCTTGGAGCCAATTTCTTCATCAAACATGGTTCGGTGATAGATTTGAAAGGTCGTCGACTGATAACTTCTGAGAGTCTTCCACTGACACTGCAAAGCACCCAAGAACCTTCTGTTCAAATCTCAAACAAATATTTGACGTACTTCAAGCAAACGGCCTCGTCATCAACAAATCAAAATGTGTTTTTGGTGCAGATTCCCTAGACTTTCTAGGTCACAGAGTCCCATCCCAAGGAGTTCAACCACTTCCCAACCGGATCAAAGACCTACTGAATGCTCCTGCGCCCAGAGATCAAAGTGCCCTACAAGGCTTCCTTGGAATGATAAACTATTACCGTTTTCTGCCCAACATAGCTGCTGTCCTGGACCCATTGCACAAGCAATCAAAAGGAAAAGGACAGAAGATCGCCTGGGATGACGCCTGCCAAGAAGCATTTGTTAAGTGCAAAGAAATTTTGGGAGCAGCAGTTTTGTTACACCACCCCAATCCAGGTGCACCAACCAGTGTAAAAGTGGATGCATCCAACAATGCCGTCAGAGTACAACTTGAACAGCGCATAGGGAGACTCTAGGTACCACTCGCATTCTTCTCAAGAAAATTTTCAGAAGCAGAAAAGAAATACAGTGCCTTTGACAGACAACTCTTGGCCGCTTTCAGTGCCATCAAGCATTTCAGGCATTTTCTAGAAGGTCGGACATTCACTCTGTATCACAAACCACTCACATCAGCCATTGGATATCACACAGACTGATCCCCTAGGCAGGCGCGTCAATTGTCTTACATTGCTGAGTTTACAACCAACATCTGTCACATCAAAGGAAAGTTCAATGTGGTAGCAGATGCCCTGTCCTGAATCAATCAGGTGTCCGCTACACAACCAACACGGCCAGGGCAAGCGGCTATAGACAGCTACTGTCAGTTGGCAAAGGCACAGGCTGAATGGGGAGAAATGGAACCCCACTTGCAAGACAACACAGGCCTAGAGTTCAGCTATATTTACAGCAATGTGTCTACAGGGACAGCAAGACCAGTGGTTCCGTCATCGTGGACTCGTCACGTTTTCAACAATATCCACAACTTGTCACATGCTGGAGTGAAACCAACACAAAAGTTCATAACTCAGCAATTTGTCAGGCATGGTATGTAGCACCAAATCTGCCAGTGGTGCAAGGAATGTCATTCTTGCCAAGCCTCCAAAATTCATTGCCACACTCAGGCTCCACTGGTGCCAAGAGACATACCTTCACCAAGATTTAGAAGTATTCATGTGGACCTGGTAGGGCCATTACCAGTAAGCCAAGGTATGACATACATCTTTACGAGATGGCCGGAAGCTATTCCCCTTCAAGATGCACAAGCCACAACACGCGCCTCTGCTCTCTTACACAACGGGGTCGCACGGTTTGGAGTTCCAGACGACATTACCTCCAATCACAGACCACAATTTACTTCAGCCTTATGGGAGAATTTCAAGAAATTATTGGGAATATCACAACAAACCACAACCTCATACCACCAACAGGCCAATGGCCTAGTTGAACATTTTCATCGACAGCTGAAAGCATCTTGAAAGCCAGATTGACAGGTAACAACTGGTATGACTCTTTACCCATCACACTACTTGGCATCAGATCAGCCTGGCGGCTTGAACCTGACTGCTCACCAGCCAAACTGGTTTACGGAACCACACTGAGGCTTCCAAGAGAATTTTTCCTAACAGAAGACATTTGATCTGTTCAGCCAGACTCAGCGTTTCTGAGGAATCTGCAAGAAACAATGCGCAAAGCTCAATCAACCCTGACAGACTATCATGGTACCAGGGCTGAATACATTCCTAAAAATCTGGAAGCTACAGGTTCTGCGTACGTCAGACATGTTTCAGTACATAGACCACAGCAAAGACCATACGATGGACTGTATAGAATCATTAAAACACATCCCAAATATTTCGTTCTGGACATTAATGGCAAGCATAACAAGGTGTCAATTGACCTTAAAGCGGCACATGTCATGACAATAGACAACACACCTTCAGCCACACGCTCGGGTCGGATTCCCCGACCACTGAGCCGGTTGGACTTATAAACTCGATCAACTCCGTGCATAATAAAAGTATGTCGTGCGCGGCACTGGGAGGAGGGTATTGTAAGCCACGGTTTGGCCTTCCAAAATCCAATGTGGCAAACATTACATTCAGCCCGTGACTACTCACGGGGGACTGGAGAGAAGTACAGAGGACAGATGAGCTGGGCCCAGCGAGGAGTAACACAAAACTAGATCTAGATCTAGATCTAAATCCAAGTTAGTTAAAACCTACAATATAAACGATAAAACAACTTTTCCACACCTTAATCAAACCCCCACACAAACGCACTGAAAAACATAAAAAAACATACAGTAACAACAAATAAATCAAGTTAATCTCATTCTACCGATCACATGGTGTCATTTGCATAGAAATTGGCAAGAGACTGGGGAAAAAAGCACCCCAGCAGACAGATGAAGACATTCGATTTAAAAATAAAACTTCTCAAGCCACCGTGCCATTTTAAAGACCGTAAATGTCGTACATACACCCCTATTGGCACACTTAAGATCATATAAGAGGTGGGCTTCTTGGACTCTGCCTTTCGGGATCAATCCAGGCTGAGTGAGATACAGCATCCAAACAAACAGACAGAGATACAAGACAGATCAATTTCTCGTCTTGAGAATCAAATTCGCATCATAAGCAAGCAATGGTGAATGGCCTACCCATAACACTGACATTTGAAATTGAAGCCAGTAGCTATGTCTGTACAATCATAACTTAAGAACTTTATACTCTCATTTTGACAGATGAAAAAAAAGATAAACCAAAAACATTTATCCAGCTGGTCCATGGCATTTCAGCACCACCAAAAAAAAAAGTACGGCATTAATGTTTTCTCTCAGTTCATCTGACCACACACTGAGATCAGATGGTACTGCCAGGACACATTTCTCTCTTTGGCATTATTGTGTGTTTAAGAAATGAACAGCATTCATCAGAGGACACATTTCTGTCTTTAACATTATCGTATGTTATGTAAACGACCAACATTCATCAGAACTACCATCTCCTGGTCGTTATATTTGGGCGGATGTCAAGGTCAAATTTCATCTCTGAGATCACATCATCATGGTCATCATACAGTTGCCCAAGTAGTTTTTTTTCAGTTTGTGATTGTCAGTATGTTACCTGTTTCATTTTCTCAATATAACAGGGGTTCGTTTTGTGAGCTATAAATAGAAATCTAATTATTGAGACATTTTTCTTTTGATCGAAGAAGAAAAAGTGACTTAAAGTGTGAAAATTTTTTTAAAACTTTTCCCAAAACAAAAATTGAGCCAGGCAACTGTGCTATGACTTTGACGTTATCGGACCTATTATCTCCTTGTTGTTTTGTTCGGACTGATGTCAAGGTCAAAATCATCCTCAATGTCACTGAGACGTCTCTTGGGCTCGGCCAGGAAATCTGAGAGATCACCTGACCCGCTCCCTGACCGTGCAGACCCGGGCTCAGACAGATAACTGTCATCTGTCACCATGCTTTTCACCGCTACTTTCTTCTTCGGCTTGTTCACTTTCCCCGCACCACCAATGCCTTTCTTCAAAATCCCTCTAGCCTTTTTTTTCTTCAACCCTATTTTTCCTTTAGAGGAAGAAGAAGACAGGGGTGCAGGAACCGTAAAGGAATCGTTGAGCGAGCGGGCCGTGGATGGAGGCGAGCCATCTACCTCGTCGGGCCACTCAGTTTTGATGTTGGACACATCCGGCCACTCTGGCCTTATGTCAGACATGCTGTGGTCCGGAAATTCAGGATCTAGAACTTCTGTTTTTATATCAGACACATCAACTGGAAAATTTGATTTGATGTTAGAAACGCCATCCGGCCATTCAAGGTCTGAACTGTCCTGAGATTTATTTCGATAGCGTCGAGATAACGATGGGATGTCGGCTGATCTGACCGTAGAGAGAGAGCCAATCGCAGATGAGGGCTGATAGGACTCGTAAGGCGCTGGCTCCTGATTAGTCATGGACATCGCTGAGCTGGACACATGAGGGTGGTAGTGGGCGCCAAGTGTTGATGAAGGGTGAGAAGAAGATGAAGATGCTGCTACAGAAGATGGAAGATGAACACTAGTGGCTGCTGTGTGGGATGTAAAGTTTGGGTGTGAAGAGGACGATGAATGGGAGGTTGACCCATTTCTAACAGAAGACGACAAAAAAGTCTGTTTAAAGTCTCCATAAGATGCTGGAATGCTATCGTTATAGTCCCCATGGGAGGAGGAGGAGAGAGGAAATTTCTCCTGGGTGGAAAAACTTTCATGACTTCCACCACCACCGCCCGAGTGGCTACCATAGCGAGTGAAAGGTGGCACGTTTGAACTTCCACTCATCTTGTAAGGGTTTGTTCTCAGGGAGCTGTAGAACTCTTGCTGCCACATAGCTACGGTACCTGATGATGAAAAGCCTTCCCCATGACCGGCCACAACAGCGGATGCTTTATGACGAGTGGATGAGGGAATTCGAAGGTTAGACACGGGCTTGAGAGAATGACTATATCCCCCATTGCCTATAGCATCCACCCCTGGAGGATTACCAGTCTGACCGCTGGCACCAACCACTCCTGAAGAGCTGGACGATAACGCAAACCCCGAAGAAGCCGTCAATGACGTGCTGTTTGATCCCAGGGCCCGTGGTACCCCTTGCATGTTCTTCTCCGCCCGATCCATCAGCCGCAGGCAGTCGTTGAGTTCTGGCGTCATCGAAACATCAAGATCACCAAACTCCTGCTTCACGTGGCCTTCACCTTCAAGGTGACGACTGGCATCAGATTCCCTCCTCGCACCCTGTCGTGTGCTCGTAGTTGTAGCCCTGCTGTTGCTACGACGATCATCATCATCGGGCCCACTCAGATGACTACTATCGTCAACGCTCCGAACAGACACATGTGAGCTTTGATCCCCCGACAATGACCTCTCCTCACCTTCCGTTTGTCTAAAATTTGTCTTAGGTACAGCATTGGCTTTCTGCAGCAAGTTCACAATGTGACGATCAAATTCCGATGTCGCCTCCGATATATCCTGTGTTGCTGCACCGCGAGGTTTTTCACCCGAAGATGTTTGCATGGGTGGAAAAGAAAAGCCAGGGTCGTTAATCCTTTGTGTATGGGAGGATGACGATGACCCCTCATAAGGGCTCGGCATCTCCAGGTCAAATGAAGGTGCCTCACCACTTGCTTCTCCACTCACACTAAAGTGAACTCTTTTCGCAGGCTTTTCCTTTCCCTCTCCCACTACCTGAGAATCTACATCATCAGAAGCTACTGGTTTACCAAAAAGCATTTTTTTGCCCCTTGTTCCGTTTTGCGGAGCGTGAAGCTCGGACGCAAAACCATTTTGAGACTCGAGCCCTCTTGCTCCAGTGTTATCTTCACCTTCCCCAGCAAACAAACTTTTCTTCCTCTGTTCAGACAAGTCGTTATTACCTTCGTAACTCTTTACAGGTTTGCCAAAGAGTCCCCTTTTGGCTTTAGTAGTACCATCTCCTGAACTGAGACCACCAGCAGATGTAAAACCATTCCGAGGTTCTGACCCTCGCATTTCAGAGTTACTTCCTCCTCCAGCATCTGCCGCAAACAAAACTCGCTTCGTCGTTGGTGCCGATACATCACCATGAACTTCACCACCACCCCGTGCCAGTTCGTTCCCCACACTGCGACTACTCAGGATACTTTTACCTGGCTCCTGACCACCCTTGTCAAGATGAAATGGAAACTTTTTGTGTCCAGCCCCCATCCCCTTATGTCCACCATTTTCATCATGTCGGGACAATAACGATAACAAGGATGATGACGACGATGAAGCAGACATCCCAGCCGCAGTTGCAGATACCGGGAATTTACCACCCGGATTCTGGGCCGCCTGGGCATCTTTCAGCTCTTTGTTCACTTTGGAGAGCGCCTTGATCTCCAACTCCAACTCCTCGATATAAGAATCGCTGCGTTCGAGTGCGCTGGTCAACTGACGCACTTCCTTCTCCAATTCTGACAGCTTTGTTTCCAAAGTGGCCACAGTGAAACGGCCAAACCTGCAATAAAAACCAAAATTTGTTTGAGTTAAGAGAAGCACATTGATATAATAATGTTCCCTTAGAACAAGACTGATACACACATAAAAGACAGACGGAAAGTAATGAAGAAGTATATACAAAAGGTGCCCTCCAATCATCCCCTGGAAAGATATAACGAAACAAGTAATAAAACAAAGCACCCATTCCATGGTCAACTGTCGAGGTCATGAGCCCAGGTGAAACCTAATACATCCCCCCCCCCCCCAAGGTTATGGATCCATCTAAGGCGACCTTATACAACAAAGGAAAATGAAACAATGAAAGAAATGAGAGAGAGAGAGAGAGAGAGAGAGAGAGAGAGAGAGAGAGAGAGAGAGAGAGAGAGAGACAGACAGACAGACAGACAGACAGACAGACAGACAGACAGACAGACAGACAGACAGACAGAGAAAGAGAGGGGGAGGGTGGTTTAAAGAGCGAGAAAGACAACAAGAGAGAGAGGGAAGAGAGAGAGGGGGAGAGAAAGAGAGAGAGTGAGACAGACAGACAGACAGACAGACAGACAGACAGACAGACAGACAGACAGACAGACAGACAGACAGACAGACAGACAGACAGACAGACAGACAGACAGACAGACAGACAGACAGACAGTGAGTAAGTAAGTTTATTCAGTGTTTAAGGCCATTGGCCCACATCACATCAAACAAAACACTCATTTGATAAATAAAGTTTCCATAATGAATAAGTACAGGTTGTGCACATATTTTTTATTTTCTGTCACTGGGCTGAGTCAGACAGGGAGGGATTAACAATTTCCTTTGATGGACAAAGCGTGAACAATAGAAAATAAAGTGAAATTCATCTTTAATTTCATGAGAGTTACACCTCTCAGATAAGGGCGAATTAGTTAATTTCCACCAAAGAGATTGTTATTTAATGGAAGGTTATGGGTTTTTAACAAAGCTATGACTTTTCTGCTCCAATACCGTGGGAGGTTGGTGATATATTCATTTCTTGAAATGGAATTGTAAGAGAGAAAACATTATACTTGCGACAGACTTCTTCCTCTAAGTCCTGCACAGAATGATCAACAAATTTACTTTTTCCTTCATTGAGAATGAGTCTAGTACTTCCAACATTTTGAGAAAACCAGGCATATCCAAAACCCAGGGAAAATAATAGGGATTTAACTTCCGTAGCCCAGTTGACTCTGCCCAGTTCACAGGAACGATATAATTGCAAGTAACATTTCTTTCGACGCCTGTCATTTTTTAAAGTGTATAAGTCTGCACCAGAATTTAATCACACAATGCATGTAATCAATTCATAAGTCGGTTCTTCCCACTTCTCTTAGAACTAAACATTTGGGTGTAGTTTTGCCAAGACCCAAAAAGGCTTTCCAGATCTTAACCTGAACATTATCAATCACGTCCCAATTTTTGGTACCCCAAATTTCAGAGCCATAAAGCAGCATTGGTTTAATCTTTATATCAAAAATGTTTTTCGCTGTTTCGAAATTTAATTCTCGGTAAGAATCGAAAAGCCTTCTTGTTCGAGAAACAATCGGTATAGCTTTACAAGCTCGATCTTCCAGCGTTCATCTCCAGCATAGACGTGATGAAAATGAAATGCCCAAGTAACTATAATAGGTTACTGTCTCTAAGATCTTATCTTCCCAATACCATCTCTCAGATCTTTTGAGACAGCCTCCATTTATAAAAACAACAATCTTACTTTTCTCTGTATTCACTTTTAAACCCCACATCTGGCAGAAATCATGTAACACATTGATTTTCTTTTGTAAACCTCTGACATTGTCGTCAAAAAGACTTAGTTCATCAGCATACATTAAACTTAAAATACCATCATTATCATTGGGCAATACTTGTATAGCATGGGTATTTGAATCTAAAAAGTGTTTTTCAAATTGAGATATAAACAAAGAAAATAATATAGGGCTAAGTATGAAGCCTTGTTTGACACCTAAAGTACATTGGAAGTACTCAGTAATTTAAGATTTCATGGATCCTCTTTCATCTGAACAGACTTTAAGACAGTGAGAGAGGTAGGTGAGAGAGAGACAGACAGGGAAGAGAGAAAGCTAAGCTTCACAAAACAAAACACGAACAGCCCTAACTACAACACAGGCCAATCATCGAACTGTGGACACGAGCTCTCTTACTTTTTGGGCGACCTCTGAGCTATCTCCAAGCGGAGGTTATCATTTTCTCGGGTTAGGTTCACGTTTTCGTCTTTCAACTTGCCGTTTTCCTGAGAACCGAAAAACACAAACACAGGCTGATTTGAGCAAAGAAAAGCACATTGGCAGAATGGTAACATAATTTATTTAGGAGTGGGGAAACAGCAAGATAGAAATACAGAAACAATAGAGGGAAGGTAATGAATCAAAGATGTTTCAGTTTTGGTAACAGTTTTGGGGCACTTGCAACACATTAAGGTCATATAAGTGCCGAAGATTAGAGGTGTTATAAGAGAGTAACAAACAAAAAAAAAGAAGGAGGAGAGGTAAGGACTATACTATAATATATTGTCTGATAGTAAATGAAGTAAATACTTGGGCAGCATTTTCACAGAAAATGGAAAATTAGATCGAGAGATAGAGACTAGAT